TTCTTTTCTTTTCATGTTTTTATTTTTATTTTTTTGAGATGGAGTCTCACTCTGTCACCCAGCCTGCAGAGCAGTGGCACAGTCTTGGCTCACTGCAACTTTCGCCTCCTGGGTACAAGTAATTCTCCTGCCTCAGCCTCCCAAGTAGTTGGGATTACAGATGTGTGTCACCACACCTGGCTAATTTTTTTTGTTATTTTTAGTAGATGGGGTTTCACCATGTTGGCCATGGTTTGAGAAGGCACGTCTCAAACTGCTGACCTCATGATCCACCCGTCTTGGCTGGGATTACAGGCATAAGCCACCACGTCCGGCCCAATGTACATAGGTTTGTATGTAAATATGACATTGTTTTATATGAGGGGCTTATCTGTTGGAGGTCCTGACACCAATCCACCATGGATACCGAGGGACGACTTTATTAAGCAACCAAGTTAAATTGTTTCAATCCATCTTGCCATACACCCGATTACAGCTTCTAAAGTTTGATTTACGTTTACCTATGGGGCCAACTATGGCCAGTCCCCTTATTGCTGACCCTCCTAGCCAGTGTCTTAGTTCCATAGCAGGTCTAGCCCTTAAGGACAGTGTGGTCCTCTATTAATACTCCAAAGAGGCCCATGTTCTCAACTAAGGACTGTTACACATATAAGGACAAGTCACAGGAAATAATTCCTGATGATTTTGAAAAGGTAAGTAGTTTAGAAGAAATTACTTGGTTACTAATCATCCTTGCAATTAATCATCAGAGATACTAATTTTCAATTTAAAATTTCAAAGAATTTAGGTATTTTCCTTATTAATAATGCACCTTACAAAGAGGAGAAACAGGACAGATGCACTACACTTGCACTAAAAAGAATGGAGGCTGACAAAGTTTTGTTTATGTCAGCAAATTTAAAGAGTAAATCACTTATTCACTAATAAAACCATCACAGGTACAATCAACTATATTACTTTCAGATCGCTGAAAACTGCCGAATATTTCTAAGATTTACACTTAACTAAAAATGGTTAAAGATATATCCCCTTTCAAACACTGAATACAAATTTGTTCATCTTGTTAAGTAATAGAACAACCTTTTATCTTTTACCAAATCCTACCTCCACTAAAAACAAAAACGTAAGAAGTTTTGAACAATTAAGAATGAGGTTGGAGAAAAACACATTAAAATTATGTGGCTTCGTCTGCTGACTCAGCTAAAAATGTTTTATTCACAATAATATACAATCATAGGCAGAGGTTAACAGTGTACAGAATCTAACCTGTAATATTTATGACTGGCAGTTTTAAAGCCAGTGCAAAATTAAGAGAACTTTTCAAAAAAACCCCTTACCATCCTGACTGCTTTTAAGCTCCTCACTATATTTCTTCTGTAAAGCCAACTCTGCTTCAAGTTGTGCAATACGTCCCTGGGACAGCTGCCTTCCAAGCTCTTGATTTTCCTGGATAAGCATTCGACACTTCGCCATTAACTTTTTCCCTGTTTGGCTGCAAAGGAAAGAGCCATCTATCACAAAATGAAGACAAAACTCTCTATAACCTTCTTTGCTTACAATTATTACAGTGATAGATCTAACACATACAAACATAACTATATCACAGCAGATGCTGCCCCATAATTACCATCTTCTTTTCTGGGACACATCCATCTTCTGCATTTCAGTATTTTGCCAATACAGCAGCAAAAATAAACACTAAACAAAAAGTGTCCAAACAGCTACACCTTGTTTCTCTTACATCAATAATTCTAAAATCCACCTATTTTCATCTCAAATTATCATTTGAAATGGAAACAGAGCCAGTTATTTAACATATGCCTTGGCTACACCAATATTATTATACTAAAGTATCTAGTGCTTTATCAAAAGTTCTTGAAAAGGTACATGCAACATCAATCACAAACGCTTCTCTTCTATATGAAAATCAGTACCCATAAATAAAAATGAATGAGAGTGTATTTATTCTTGCTAGAAAAACATTTAATAAGGATTTTCCTTAATAGGAAGTCCTCCAGTGTGGGCAACACAGTGAGACCCCAACGCTACAAAATTAAAAAAAAAAAAAAAACTGGCCAGGCACACATGCTTGTAGTGCCAGCCTGTGCGAAGTCTGAGGTGGGAGGACTGCTTAAGCTCAAGTGGTTGACACTGTGAACATGCCTGTATTCCAGCCCGGGAAAGAGATCCTGTCTCAAAAACGAGGAGGAGAGAGGGAAGTTTTCTGGTACATACATCTTCCACAACTCTCAAGAATATATGAATATATCTATTATGTCAATTGAGGCATGTTCAGCAATTATAATTTTTTAAGACTTAAGACTTTATTGACAGAAAAGATCATCCTTTTGACACAAAAATATGATCAGTGGCCACGTATCACAATTCAAATATGTGAGTATCTGCCAATATAGGAGTGCCACACTTTCCACAAATTAGTTTCTAAATGCTAGTGCAACATACTACAGAACCTACGTGAACATACACAGCAATTGCAAAAATGTAATGAAAAGCTCAAATTTTTCTCAATAAAATTTTATTGCTTTTCTTTAAGCTGTAGCAATAAAAGAAATTACGTTTTTTTTGTTTTTTTTTTGAGACAGAGTTTCTCGCTCTTGTTGCCCAGTCTGGAGTGCAATGGCGCGATCTCGGCTCACCGCAACCTCCGCCTCCTGGGTTCAGGCAATTCTCCTGCCTCAGCCTCCTGAGTAGCTGGGATTACAGGCACATGCCACTATGCCCAACTAATTTTTTTTAGTATTTTTAGTAGAGACGGGGTTTCACCATGTTGACCAGGATGGTCTCGATCTCTTGACCTCGTGATCCACCTGCCTCAGCCTCCCAAAGTGCTGGGATTACAGGCTTGAGCCACCGTGCCCGGCTTGTTTCTTCTTATAATCATTTATGAAGACAAAAAGACAAAAGAAATGATCACTTTTAAAAGAATCTAAGTAAATAATTGTTATCTTTACCTTTGAGATTTGGATAAAGACAGTATGACATTCTTGTCCTTGTGGGTAAGCCCAGAATGGCCTTATTGGCTAAAACATTTTTTTTTTTTTTTTTTTTTTTTTTGAGACGGAGTTTCGCTCTTGTTACCCAGGCTGGAGTGCAATGGTGTGATCTCGGCTCACCGCAACCTCTGCCTCCTGGGTTCAGGCAATTCTCCTGCCTCAGCCTCCTGAGTAGCTGGGATTACAGGCACGCGCTACCATGCCCAGCTAATGTTTTGTATTTTTAGTAGAGACGGGGTTTCACCATGTTGACCAGGATGGTCTCGATCTCTTGACCTCATGATCCACCCGCCTCAGCCTCCCAAAGTGCTGGGATTACAGGCTTGAGCCACCGCGCCCGGCTGGCTAAAACATTTTTTAAATTCTAGTCTTTCCTCCTTCTGGTGAGGCTTTCACTTGCCTGATACATTACTTCAGTATTCCTTAGAACTTTAAAAATGGAAGCAATTCGTAAAGAAGTATCATTCTTTGAAGAAGTGTTACAGTTCTTTTACCTACAACATAATTTCTTTTTTGAGATGGGAGTCTCACTGTGTTGCCCAGGCTGGAGTGCCATAGTGTGATCTTAGCTCACTGGAGTCTTGACCTCCCCAGGCTCAGGTGATCCTTCCACCTCAGCCTCCAGAGTAGCTGGGACTATAGGTGTGCACCACCACCACCAGCTAATTTTTCGATTTTTAGTAGAGATGGGGTTTCACCAATGTTGTCCAGGCTGGTCCCAAATTCCTAAGCTCAAGTGATCTGCCTACCTCAGCCTTCCAAAGTGTTCAGATTACAGGCATCAGCCACTGTGCCTGGCCGCATGTTTTCTAACCTAATGTAATTCAAGGAAAAGTTTGTAATTAAGCTTCTTTACACAAAATATGTGAACAGTTAAACCTGGTTTACTACTGTTCAGAGGAGCCCAAGGTGAAAGCCACCAGTGAGCATGAGGTAAGGGGTTCATTCTTTGATATCACTGTTATTAGCTGGTGTTCTTGTTCATTGCTACTGTAGCTCCAGATTTCCATCATTTCCCATCAGCACTGTCAGGTTTTAGCCTCCACTGAACACCCACTTAGAAATTAAACAGTGAGAAAATGAGAGATGCAGGATTATCAAAAACAATGGAATTCCTTCCACTTTACTACCTATGCTCTCAAAACTGTCTTCCTGCAAAGTGTATATATTTCATTGGTGTTTACAACTAGCCTGAAAACCCTTATTATGTAATTTTTAAAGAGTAGAAAAAAAGACAACTGTAAGATACATTAATTTATGACCTGACTTAACCATATTAATTTGTGACCTGACCTAACCCCATATAAAAATGTCACAAATTCTAATGCAAAAAAGGTTTCGTTTGAAAGCCATATCTTTTAGAAATAAATTGCTAAGCTCATCTGTCACATTTAAAACTAGTCATCACTAAAATAAATTTTAACAAAATCAGTTTTGAAAAAAAAAATTTAATTACAAGTAATTTTTTTGAAATAATTTTTTTAAATTATAAACAAAAAACCCCATTCCTAAAATCAATTAATCCACAAACATAATGGAAAGCACTTTAAAAGATGTACCTCTAAACACTCTTTAAAATGTGTGCATCCTCACATGAATGAAACATTTTAACTTAAGTGGACAGGTTAATTTAGGGAATCTTTCTTCCTCAAAATTAAAACAGAAAAACAGTAAAGTGAAGACACACACACATGCGCACGCGTGCACACGCACACACCTCAAAGCAAAATCCATTCCACTATTGGAAATATTTCAGACAGGTGATTGCCTGAGCCATTATTTGTTTCAAATTAGTGATGTATTTATAGTACTTGATATACTCTGGCTTACAGCCAATTTTACATGAAAAAATCCATTTAGAAGTGATTCAAATAAATTATGGTACCTTAATATAATGGAAATACACTGCGAAACCATTAAAAATGTAGTAGTCTAGATATACTAAAAAACGGAAAAATGCCGAAGAGACTAAGTGAAAAAAACAAGGTGCAAGTCATCTGTGTTTATGGTATGATCACATTTGTTTAAAACAATATACATAAAATGACTGTATATGCATAGAAATAATCATGATGATATCCAAGAAAAGTAACAGCAGCTACTGCTCCTGGAGAACAGAATGGGATGTCAAGGTCACATCCAGGAGTCACACTCACTTTTCATCTTCAACTTTCTCTACATAATTTCAATTTTACACACAAGCATGTATTATCTTATTAATTAGAAGAGAAAATTTTAACAATGACAAGGAAAAAACCATAGAACTCATGACTGTTATCTAAGTGGCGAAGAAAGATGCCCACTAAATTTGAGTACATGTTATACATTTTATGAATTACTTCTTGACCTACTAAAAAGACACTTAGGCCATTTCTACTGTGATCTTAAATGGCATAAAATATATACAAAAGCCTTAATGCAAGCACATAAGCTAGTTTCAAACAGATCTGGTTACTTACCCTCCAACCCTCACAAATAGTGAGAATTTTAGAAGCAGATTTCTTGCTGAAAAAGTCACACAAACCACTTCTTCAACCCACCCTCTGCCCCACAATCAGTTCCCTAAAGCACAAACATACAAGATACTTACAATTGATTTGAATGATAAAGAGAGAACTTAAGTCACCCTTGTTAAAACTGCACTTAAACGTTGGGACAAGCTGGAACATTTATCTTCCACTCATCTTAGACTCCATTATCACCAAGCGAAAATTTGAATTGGTGACTTATAGAATGATCTGACGGAAAAAATTCACCTCCAGGATTGGATGGAAGCATGAAGAAAATAATGCCTCATTTATCTAAATGATTAAATGAATTTGCTAGAAATGATCACTATACCTTTTTTCAATTCACAGAATGTCTTACTTAGGCCAGCCCACAGTTCCAACACATTATCTTCTGGCAGGCACCCTGTGAAGCTGTCCCACGTTACTTTCTACTGCAATACCCTGGGACAAAGCGTCATAAAAGTAACAAGTGTCAAGTCTCCTTGTCTTTTATGATATCAAATGGGATAAAGTAGGTCTTTTAAAAATGAGGCACAGCGCCTTTTCCTTCACTTTGAAGAGCACAGCAACAGTATTTCCAAAATCAATCTGCTCTCCACAGTGCCCCCCCAAATTAAACTGTTAAAGAGTACAACAAAATCATCATAATATTCTTTGAACTTAAAAAAAAAAACAACTATTTCAAGGCACATTTAATTTAATATCAAGAGTGCAATACAAAAGGCCCAAATACAATGAAGGAACACATTCCCCCATTAACACCAACGACAATGCTCTTTTAAACATGTGCCTGTTGAATGGAATGGGGATTTCATAAAATTCACTAAAAAAATAATGCAGTGAGTCTCATCACAGCTAACATCCTTATACAATCTAGTTGTGAAATGAATGTTTATAATGCTTCAAACAATTTAAACCTGAAGTTTGATACCACACCTTCATGTTTTGTACAGTCCTCAGTAAGATTATCTACAGTTTTTGCAATCATTCAAGGAACAAACCATTGAATAAAACCACATTGATTTAAGGCTCAATCAAGTACTATAGAGCCCCAAACTAAATGGTTAAATATATGTGCTACTTGTACGGACATCTATTGATTCTCTCATGACTATTAAAAGTTGGTTCTCAGCAAATAAACCCTTTAAAGGCAAAATTCACCTCATTTGAGTTTTGACCCAGAAGTTCAACAACAATCATGAAGTCCACAGTCTTATTGGCAAAACTGATATGCAGTGTCTCTAAGTCACTGTGCTCAAGGTTAAGAGCGATGCATATTCCATTTTTACATTTTACTGGAATTTTACATGTTCAATTCATGACTTAAAATCTCTAGGTTTTCATTCCTTCAAACTGTCTGAAGACACAGTGTGCCACAGACTTAAGACTTCTGTTTCTCCCTCTATTTTCTTCAAACAGAAACATTTCTCAAGTGTCTACATGTTCTAGAAGGGGAATTTTTCGGAGGTGGCCACTTCTTCGGAATAGTCCGACGCCATCAGGCCTCTGAAGCAAGGGGAAGGGGAAGAGAAAAAGCTGAAACACAAGGTTCATCTGGTAAGTTTTACATTAACCATTACAAGCTGGACAGTGTAAGAATGTGGCTTTTTTTTTTTTTTTTTGGCTCAAAAAGTCTGAGTCTTGGTGTGGAAACGAGTACTTGGCTGTCCCACCACAGCTTTCTCGTAGTGGGACTGTCAGGGAAGTCTTGACTGGGGAGTATGATTTGTTTACCTATCAGGCGTAAACTTCCAGGCACTCAGTTCATTTTGGGCTTGTTCCAGTTTGTCTTTAGTCTGTTCCAGTTCACCTTTCATTTTTAGGAAAAACAAGTTGATCGCTGGGTCTACCATTGTTGATCTCAGTTGGGCAACGCTCGGCTGCTGGACTTGCTTGAGGTACTGGATTTGAGTCTGTACAAATCAAAAGAAACAATTACGACCAAATCAAAGGAAAAATACATAAGAAGATGGGGAAAACTCCCTCCTTCACTTGACTTACTAACTCCCTCATTAAGCTCCTTCCCTCTTTGATCCTGAAATTCTCTAGAAAAATCTTTAAACTTTTAAAAGTTAAAATTAAAAACTATTTGATGAACACACTAATTAGCCTGACCTGATCGCTATATATTGTATGTATTGAAACATCACTATGTAGTAGTCCTTGAATATGTACAATTACTATCTGTCAATTAAAAAAATATTTATTTAAGGTTATTCATGTAGGAATTGAGGCCATTTGATAACATCTCCAAATCCAGGACTTAACTTTAAAATGGCTACATACATTTTACTTTACAATCCAAACATTACCCAAAACAGACAAAACTCAATGTTATATTTTTACTAAAACTGCTGACAACCCATTGGAAAAAAAGCGAAGTTTAAAATATTAATTACCTAACAGTTAATGACGTCTTTTGGTTTGCTTATTTTAAATTTTGCCTATGAAAATTATTCTATGTAAAGTCCCCTAAAAATACATCAGATATGAGATTTTAACTTAAAATACACATTTGCAGTGCTAAAAGAAAAAAACATACAGTACTTACATCTACATGAATTGCCATTACAACTTATAAAAGCAAAACTCTATAGGGCCTTAAGCCAAAATAAAGTATAATTCTTACTTTTATTCCCTTCTGAGTAGATTTGAATTATAAAATTATAAAGCTGGAAAGTAACTAACCCAGGCATCCCCAAACTTTTTACACAGGGGGCCAGTTCACTGTCCCTCAGACCGTTGGAGGGCCGCCACATACTGTGCTCCTCTCACTGACCACCAATGAAAGAGGTGCTCCTTCCTGAACTGCGGCGAGGGGGCCGGATAAATGGCCTCGAGGGCTGCATGCGACCCTCGGGCCGTAGTTTGGGGATGCCTGAACTAACCTAATCCAAACTGCTTATTTTGAGATTAAATAACCCAACTGTTTAGTTCAGTGCCATAGCTGGGACTAGAATTCTAGTTCTCTGGCCTTCTGATTCCCAGTCTAGAGCTTTTTCCACCATACCAGAACCCTTCTACTTACATATGAAACCTTCAATTTCGACTTCAGTTGTACTATTTACTAGCACACTAAAAACATATTTCTAAAATATGAAATACAGTTATTAGTGTTAAATTCACCATTTTAGTCATACTCAAAGTAGATCTGGCCCAAGTTCTAGCTCCACACTAAGGCTTAAACAGGATTACAGTTAAAATTTCCTAATATAAATTTAGTAAAAGGAACAAACATACTAGGTAAATTGGGACTGTATTTAATTTGCTTCACTGAGCGAACAAAAATAGTATTTTTTTGAATAAAAAAGTACAACTATATAGTCAATGTGAAGCCAGCTGCTAAGATAACAAAGCAAGAATACACCATGTCTTACAGTGGACTCAATGTACTGATAAGTCTACAACATTGAGACTCAGTTACTATTTATGTTTACAAAGACCCAACAGTCAACATTTTCAATCATGAAAAGAGAGGTGAACTCTGACTAGAATAAATTCCACGTGCTAGAGATGAGAACACTGGGTAAAGTGTTTTCAAAGTTAGCTTTATTCCTAAATCTATTTTGATTGGCAAAAGACTAAACGAAAAATAGAAAACCCACTGAGGTAAACAAAAATGATAGATTTTACTTACCAACAAAATACAGAGTTAAGAATATAGTAACTATTTATGCGGCTAACTTATGCCTTACACTCACAACTGACTACTACTGATGTACTTGGCAAAGACTGTATGTAAACAAATACGCCATTATTATTAAAAGATCAAACAGGTAAGTTAGTAGGCTGGGCAAACAAAAGATCTACAGAAACAAACAGACTCCTGAAATACCAAGGGTAAAAGCAGCAGCACTGTTTTAAAGGATAGGTACTGGCCAGGCATGGTGGCTCACAAGGTCAGGAGCTCAAGACCAGCCTGGCCAAGATGGTGAAACCCCATCTCTACTAAAAATACAAAAAATTAGCTGGGCATGATGGTGGGCACCTGTAATCCCAGCTACTTGGGACACTGAGGCAGAGAACTGCTCGAACCTGGGAGGTGGAGGTTGCAGTGAGCTGAGATCGAGCCACTACACTCCAGCCTGGGAGACAGAATAAGTCTCCATCTCAAAATAAATAAATGAAAAGTAAATAGATAAAGGACAGGTACCTAATACAAACCTTTCCATGTTTTTTCAATCTCAAGGGGGTAAGAAAACCTCCTTCTCAGAGCCAATCTTTTCAACCAATGCTTAACCTATTCCCTCCTACCTCCTCTAGTACATAACTCCCATTCTTTCTACCCTTTAAATTCGGTTTCTCACGATTTCCACTTAACAGTTTCTCTAGAGCAGGGGTATCCAATCTTTTGACTTCCTTGGCCAACAGCCTCTTAACTGCCAAATCTAACGAACAATTTAAAATTCCTATTATATAGAACTTTATGTATGCCTTTGTTTTAATCACTTTATTTTTGGGCGTGAGGAAGGAATGCTGGATTTCCTCAATTTTCCTAATACCACACTCTGCTCTTCTTTTAAAATTTGATCTTTGTAGGCTCTTTCCTAGTAGCATCACTACTTAACTAGTCAAACAAGACAAACCTGAGAGCTATTTGTGATTCTTCCCTAAATTTTTTCATTCCTTCCACAACAGCATCCAAACTAAAAAAGTCCTATTGATTTGCGCCTCCAAAACACCTATTCTGTCCTGCCTGCTCCCTGTTGCCAGTGGCTTCATTTATCTCATCTGGACTATTTTAATAGACTCACAATTGGTTTTCTTGCTTAAAGTCCTGTTCCACTCACATTCATCTTTCATACTCAAGCCAAAGTGATCTACTTAAAATGTAAATCTAAATCTGATCCATCATACACATCTCTTGCTCAAAAATTCTTCAGTGGCTCCATCTCTCCTAGAATACCCAAGATTCTGATCTCATCTTTTTTCACTGTCACCTGAAACTTTATCCTAATCTGCCATATATAATCGTGCCTTTTCTTGTGATTTTGCTCCTGCTGCCCTGCCCTGCCTGCAAAACCTCACTTGTATTATAATTGGAAGAACAGGAAGTTGTTCAGCTGGCCTGTGCAGGTGACAGCTGTTTAAAAAAAAAAAAAAAAAAAAAGGCTGTAAAAAGTTAGGTTCCATTACAGTTGAAATAACCATGAGGTATCACCAAAGGCCTTCATCAGACATGATATTATCAAAACTGCCAGTGTATATAGGACAGCTGGAGAATCAGAGGTGCATGAATAGCACACATTGTGTAGGCAAGTACTTAGTTCCTCAACTAAGACGTCCAGAGTAGGAATCAGTAAGAGAAAGGAATTCAAGACATTCTGGTCCTGTGAGACAGTACCATCAACATCATCTATTCAACTATATTTCCCAAGTGTTATGTTAGCAGTCTAAAGGTAAGATTCATTTTTTGTGAAAAGGGAAATTTGTTAAAACATTCATTAGTAAGTATGGAGAAAAAAGTATCAGTGGTAGTGAGAATTACAATAAAATGACAGGAACAAAAGGACAAAATGTGGTGATAAGGTAGAGAAAATGGTAATGGGCCAGGTGTGATGGCTCACAACTACAATCCCAACAGTTTTGGGAGGCCAAGGAGGGAGAACTGACTAAGGACAGGAGTTCAAGACCAGCCTGGGCAATGTAGGGAAGACCACATCTCTACAAAAAATTAGAAAATCAGTTGGGCTTGGTGGTACGTGCCTGTAGTCCCAGTTACTCAGGAAGCTGAAGTGAGCTGTGATTACACCACTGCACTCCGGCCTGGATGAGAGAGAGACTCTGTCCCAGGTAAAGAAAATAAAAAGAAAGAAAGAAAATGATAAAAGCCAGCGTTTAGAAAAGTAAAACATGAAAAAGTCAATCAGAAAAAAGGGAAAGATGAGTAAATGGGTACTTATGTGGAAATTTAAACAATATCTGTTTAAATCAAGGAACAGGACTGCACCCATAGATTTTTGGTGTATCTCCTGTGACCAGAATTACTACCTTAGAAGATTATAGTAACACATTAGAAGACTTCTTTTTTTTTTTTTTTTTTTTGAGACAGGGTTTCGCTCTTGTTACCCAGGCTGGAGTGCAATGGCGCGATCTCGGCTCACCGCAACCTCCGCCTCCTGGGTTCAGGCAATTCTCCTGCCTCAGCCTCCTGAGTAGCTGGGATTACAGGCACGCGCCACCATGCCCAGCTAATTTTTTGCACCTTTAGTAGAGACAGGGTTTCACCATGTTGACCAGGATGGTCTCGATCTCTTGACCTCGTGATCCACCCGCCTCGGCCTCCCAAAGTGCTGGGATTACAGGCTTGAGCCACCGAGCCCGGCTACATTAGACTTCTATATGTATCAAATGAATGGAGAATACACAAAGAATTGAAGAAACATTGATATTTTAAAATCAGAAACAAAGATATAGCTGTCTCTAATTGTTTTGTATAATTACACTGTAAGGTCGAATCTAAACTACCAGAACTGGATGATCAATTACTAGATTTCAGATCTATGCAGACACAGTAAACACTACACAGTACACATCAAAGTTCTAACATTTAAAAGGAGACACTGAAGAAGTTGCTGACACTAGGAAAAACAGTTCAGAGGGAACAAGAGAGCAGAGATAAAGAAACCAGATGGCTTTCCTAGCCAGTGAAACATAAAGCATTAAGGAGCAAATGCTCTTTTATTGATTATACCCTCAGACACCAAGGATCTGAAAAATGTCTGGAAGTGATAAACATTCATAAAGCATGAAAATTTAAACAAACAAACAAAAACAACTTAAAACTTTTGCCTTATTGGCCACAAAAAAAATTTTAGTCTAAATGAAGAATCTTTATCAAAATTTTCATCTAGTATACTTAAAGCTCAAAGTGTATACACCTATAAAAAATACGGTCTCATAGTCCATTAAGTATTTAAAATCAACATGTAATAATGCTAACTAAAAACTAATTCCTCAACTAAAGACTTATACAACTTGACATACTTACAGTACACTCTTGCATCTCTTGTTCCTTGGTTGCTAGTCGCATTACAAGGATGTTTTCCCTGCGTGCAGACTCCTGCTGTTGCTGCTTTAGTTTTTCTTCGGACTCTCTTAGGCCAGTTACATCATTAGCTGACGATTTAAAAATATATATATAAATACGATTTTAAGATCAAGTTCTAAATACCTCTGTTAAGAACAATAAAAACTAGGGTCAAAAATTTCCTCAAGTCTTTACTTTCTGTCCTAACTCCCTTTATAAAAGGGAAATTTTTCCTGGTCATGAGAGCTTCTTTAGAAGGTAATGGTGTCACAGTGCTCTACGACTACTAACTGAATTATGTTTTTATAGTTTCATCTGTTCGCAACAGAAGACATAAAACATCTGTTTGAGGGCCGGGCGCGGTGGCTCAAGCCTGTAATCCCAGCACTTTGGGAGGCCGAGACGGGTGGATCACGAGGTCAAGAGATCGAGACCATCCCGGTCAACATAGTGAAACCCCGTCTCTACTAAAAATACAAAAAATTAGCTGGGCATGGTGGCGTGTGCCTGTAATCCCAGCTACTCAGGAGGCTGAGGCAGGAGAATTGCCTGAACCCAGGAGGCAGAGGTTGCCGTGAGCCGAGATCGTGCCATTGCACTCCAGCCTGGGTAACGAGAGCGAAACTCCGTCTCAAAAAAACAAAACAAAACAAAACAAAAAACCAAAAAACAAAAAAAACCATCTGTTTGTGTTATACAGTATTCATAAAATCCTGATTACTATGTTTTAACCTATTTAATATAAAAATGCCAGCTGAGCACAGTGGCTCACACCTGTAATCCCAGCACTTTGGGAGGCTGAGGTGGGTGGATCACCTGGGGTCAGGAGTTTGAGACCAGCCTAACCATTATGGTGAAATACCATCTGTACTAAAAATACAGATTAGCCAGATATGGTGGTGCATGCCTGTAATCCCAGCTACTACTTGGGAGACTGAGGCAGACGAATCACTTGAACCTGGGAGGCAGAGGCTGCAGTGAGCCTACACTGCATCACTGCACTCCAGCCTGGGCAACAGCATGAGACTCTGTCGCAAAAAAATAAAAAATAAAAATGGTAGTAACTGCTGGACAATTAGTATTTTAAACTCGAGGCAGGATCTTATTGTGTTACCCAGCAGGAGTGCAGTGGCACAATCACAGCTCACTGCAGCCTTGATTTCCCGGGCTCAAGTAATCCTCCTGACCCATTTTAAAATTTAATTTAATTAATTTATTTTGTAGAGACAAGGTCTCTCTGTGTTGCCTATGTTCTCAACTCCTGGACTCAAGTGATCCTCCCACCTTGGCCTCCCAAAGTGCTGGGATTATAGGTGTGAGCCACTGTGCCCAGCCTTACACTTTCATAATGTTCATGACTTCTATGGATTATAACATAGTCATGTAAAATCGGAATTTCAGGGTATAAACTCTGACGTTAGACAATAATATATATTCGTTTTCATACTTGACAGTATGTGATTCAAACAGTAAAAAGTGAGACTGAAATGCTTTAAAATGACAAACTCTTGATATTTTCAGCAGATTTGAAAAAATATGTAAATAGATATTACACATAATTAAGTTATATATACTCATTTAAGCTGTCATAAATCTGTTACTGGTTGCTTCTATTTATTTCCCTTCTAGACTAAACTCATGCTTCAAGTCATACTCCTATGTAGGAGGGGCTTGGGACAAGTAAGAAAAGTTTCAAGTAGTTCTGAGTTACCGTTATCTATCCTCAGAACCTTGCATATAATTTTGCTAAGTTATGCCATTATATGAGTATTACATGTCGGACTTTTCTATTCATCTTTGTATTTTCTTGCACCAAACACAGTGCCTATGTATAGTTCTTATAATAAAACACTTGAGAAAAATTAGTCGCTTTAATAAAATCAGTTATCCTTTTGATTGGAACAACAATCAAAAGAAGATTATTCAGTCTTTTAGGAAGCTAAAACTCAAACTTACAGTTAAGATCTGTGTACTTGCCCTCCAAAGCTTGTACATATGCTTCATATTGTTTCCATCTAGTAAAAAAACAAAATAAAACCATACATTAGTTACAGTGAGATAGCTTTTACTTAAACAAAAAAACTAGAAGATCACATGTATAAATTTGCAGATTTAAGTTAATACTGAGCATTCTGCTGGACAATTTTTAATTTTGAGATTGTTTTAATTTTAAATCCAGTTTTTGTTGTTTTTTTTTTGAGACGGAGTTTCGCTGTTGTTACCCAGGCTGGAGTGCAATGGCGCGATCTCGGCTCACCGCAACCTCCGCCTCCTGGGTTCAGGCAATTCTCCTGCCTCAGCCTCCTGAGTAGCTGGGATTCCAGGCACGTGCCACCATGCCCAGCTAATTTTTTGTATTTTTAGTAGAGACGGGGTTTCACCATGTTGACCAGGATGGTCTCGATCTCTCGACCTCGTGATCCACCCGCCTCGGCCTCCCAAAGTGCTGGGATTACAGGCTTGAGCCACCGCGCCCGGCCTAAATCCAGTTTTTTAAGAGTCTTGCTATGTCCCTCAGGCTGGAGTACAGTGTTGCAAACAGGATCTGGGCTCAAGCGATCCCCTGGCTCAGCTTCCTGTATGGCTGGGACCAAAGGCGCATGGCTAATTTTTTTTAGAGATGGGGTCTCACTACATTGCCCAGGTTGATCTTGGAACTCCTGGGCTCAAATGATCCTCCCACTTTGGCCTCCCAAACAGCTGAAATTACAAGCCTGAGTCACCACACCCGGCCTAAATCTAGTTTAACTGATAATGAAGTAGTCCCTCATTATTCCTTCCCTTTTATGGGACACAGGTTAAAGGAGATATAAAGAGAAGGTGCTTTCTGCTGAGAACATGCCAAGCATGCTCTGGGTAAGATTAAACCGCAGATTCACTTTGGTATCACTGATGTTCACAATAATCCTGGATTACAGAAGCTGAAAAAAAAAAAAAAATCCTGCTGCTACTTTCCTATGTTGTCCACTTAGAACAAAAGGTACATTAGAAATGTGACTAATTATGCAGAACTGAAGGTTCTTTATCTTGGCTCTTTTGTGAAAATACCCTGTGACTCTTCTCAAGGTAGTATCAATTTCTGCCTGTAAAGAAAGGGGGAAAATATAACATTTTTCAAGACTAATTTAACAGTCACATCTAACTGGCAGAAACTACCTGCATAAATGCCATATGCTATCAGAGTACAAGGGGACTGTTCTTCATTATACATCTCTATCCTGAATATACACTACTAGCTCCTCTTAGCAATAAAGATTTTTCACAGTCTTATTAGACAGCGCCTAATGGAAAGTACCCTGCCCTGAATGTCTGCTATCCTGCATATTTTAAGAGCCATGTTTTCAAACTGCTCTTCAGGTAGATAATTAAAATTTGCTTTTAAAAAACCATTTAATAATCTTAAAAACAGCCTTGCTGTAAGTTACTAACATTACAACACTAACGAACAAAAAGTACTTCCTAATTCCAAACTAATCCATTTTCTATATAAACACTACTGTTCAGCCACAGCCATGCTTATTTTTATGGCACTTACAACCTAGGACACACACAGTTTGCCCAATATTTGGGGATGTATAGAAAAGGTCTTCTGTGGAGGCTATAAAAGAATGATTTATTTTAGAAGAACAGAAAAATATAAAAACTGAGGCAAGAACATGTATATCACAAGGATAGAAAGCATAGACTAGTTAAATAAGTAGCAGCTGGTCTGAAATCATCAAGGGAATTATCAGAAAAGAACACACCTAAAAGTCTTACTGAGAATTCCCTAAGGAAAGATGTTAAACTGACTGCAAGGATATACACTGCATATGATTTACAAATCTTAAAGGTATCTTAAAAGAAAACATTTCTATGATTCTTTATTACAATTACTGACTTTTCCCCTCCTACAGTTAAATCAAAAAAATGACTGCACAGACTAACTAGAGCAATTATGTAAGAAGGCATAAAAAGAAGTGTATAATAGTACAGGTAGGGGGAAAATAAAGTCAGGGCTGGGCATGGTGGCTCATGCCTGAATCCCAGAACTTTGGGAGGCCAAGCATTTAAGACCAGCCTGAGCAACATAGCAAGACCTCACCTCTATTATAATTTATATGCACATTAAAAACAAACAAACCAGCATCCAGGAGTAGTGAGTATCTACTTCAGCAGAAGACAGGAGTGTTTGAGAATACCAAGGATTTAAACTTTATGTACAGGAAGATAAAGGTATACAATGGAAACTGTCCCATGTTTGAGATTATGGCAAAAAAAGGTAAGAGTGTGTTTATAATACAGTAACTATGCCAAGGTGAAAGCAGGAAACTGTCACACTCTAGGAAACAACAAACTATTTTTACCCTATCTCACAAAACATTTTTTCTCTCACTCGCTTTCAGCCTATTAAATAAAAATACTCATTTTATTTTCATCTAAAAGTCATCCAGAAACTAACCATAACAATAATATACAGAAAAAATATGCAAATTATAAAACACAGAACATCCTACTTCCCGATTTCTTACACACTGCAAAAGATTATATGCTGTATCTGACAATCTGCTTTTGTAAGACATTTATAATACAACCACGGAAATTCAGAACTGGAAGGAACCTTTAAAAGTAACTCAACCCCTTCAACTTACAGATGAGAAAATGAAGTGTATGCAGTTAAATGAGTTGGTCAAGGTCACACTAATAAGAAAAAGTAAACTCATTTCATTAGTAAATTATGTATTTCTTCCAAAAATATAAGTGCATCTTTTAGGATATTTTTTTTTTTTTTGAAATGTTAAACACAAAAGGAAAAACTACACAAAACAAGCCATGGATTTGTCAAACTTAGAGCTTCTTAGCAGTTCTTTAAAGTGCTAGGTTTTCCTCAGTGTTAACATAATGAAGAAACAGGTCACAGGAAATACATTCAAAAAGTACTTAAATTATTTAAGGATGTAACTACATTAAAAACAATATTTGGCATGAAGACAAATATTACAGTTTGGAGTCACAATACAGTGTTCTATAGAAAGATTTTTGATAAAAAGAACATTTTACCGTAGAATTAACTCATCTCTCGCCATAACTTTGAAGTCTGTTTCACTCAGTCGAACCTAAAAAGAGAATTATGAAATGAATTGAGTACTCTTCCTGAAGACACAAAGCTCTATACTGAGACCTATGAAACATCTCTCAAGTGAGAGATTTAAATGGCTTGGTACATATTATTTAAAAAAAAAAAAAAAAAAGAAAAGATTTTATTACAAGTTTTTTTTTTTTGTTTTTTTTTTTTTGAGACAGAGCCTCACTCTGTTGCCTAGGCTTGATAAAGTGCAGTGGCGTCATCTCGGCTCACTGCAACCTCCACCTCCAGGTTCAAGTGGTTCTTCTGCCTCAACCTCCGAAGTAGCTGGGACTACAGGCACACAGCACCACACCTGGCTAATTTTTATATTTTTAGTAGAGACGGAGTTTTACCATAGTGGCCAGGCTGAACTCCTGACCCCATGATCTGCCCGCCTCGGCCTCTCAAAGTGCTGGGATTACAGCTATGAGACACTGTAACCAGCTAGTTTTTTTTTTTTTTTCCAAAGGTAAATTATTTGGTATCTTGACAATAGACATCATCATTAGGGAAATGCACATTAAAACCGCAGGTATTGGCCAGGCGTGGCAGCTCATGCCTGTAATCCCAGCACTTTGGGAGGCTGTGGCAGGCAGATCACAAGGTCAGGAGATGGAGACCATCCTGGCTAACATGGTGAAACCCTGTCTCTCTTAAAAAAAAAAAAGGAGGGCCGGGCGTGGTGGCTCAAGCCTGTAATCCCAGCACTTTGGGAGGCCGAGGCGGGTCGATCACGAGGTCGAGAGATCGAGACCATCCTGGTCAACACGGTGAAACCCCGTCTCTACTAAAAATACAAAAAATTAGCTGGGCATGGTGGCGCGTGCCTGCAATCCCAGCTACTCAGGAGGCTGAGGCAGGAGAATTGCCTGAACCCGGGAGGCGGAGGTTGCGGTGAGCCGAGATCGTGCCATTGCACTCACTCCAGCCTGGGTAACAAGAGGGAAACTCCGTCTCAAAAAAAAAAAAAGGAGAAGAAGAAAAAAAAAAAAACCCCAGGTATCACCACACACTGATTAGAATGACTAAAACAAAAATTAGTGGCAACACAAATGCTGGTAAGGATTCAGAGAAACTGAAGTTTCCTACACTGCAGGTAAGAACGTAAAATGGTATCTGAGTATTTGAAAAACTTTGGCAGTTCCTTTTATTAATACAACTAAAAGTGAATGTGTCATAGAACCCAGCAGTTGTACTCTTAAACATGTATCTCAAAGAAACAAAAACTAATATCCAAGCAGTTTTACTTGTAAAAGTCAAAAAAGTGAAAACTACCCAACTGTCTTTTAATAGGGAAATGATGAAACTATGACACAGCCACACCATGGAACACTTTAAGCAATTAAAAAAAAAAAAAAAACAGGACTACTGATACATGAAACAACTTGTATAAGTCTTAAGGAAACCGTGCTAAGTGGAAGGGAAAAAAAAGTCTCAAAAAGATACATACTACATGATTTCATTTATGTAACACGCTGAAATAACAATTATAGAAATGGAAAATAAATTAGCAGTTGCCAGGCACCAGGCAGGGACAGAAAGGGGGTAGACTTGGCTATAAAATAACTCAATGAGGCTTTGTGGTGATGGCTCAGATGTGTATTTTGATAAATGATGGTTATACAAAGCTAGACATGATAAAATTGCATACAGCTCCTCCCCACTCACCCCACAAACAGTACAAGTATAACATGAAATGTGAATAAGCTCTGTGGATTGTGCCAATGTCAATTTCCTGATTTTCATAGTTATTAGAGATGTCTGCTAGTCACTCAAGATGTTAACAATGAAGGAGGATCAGCGAAAGTTGCACAGAACCTCTCTATACATTTATTTGCAACTTCCTGTGAATCTATAATTATTTCAAAATAAAAAGTTAAAAGGGCATAAGCTGACATGCTTCATAAATTGAGAAATAGTATTTTCACTACACCAAACAAGTAGTGAGAAACCTCTCCTACTTCAGAATAAAATTAAGGCTTTGGCTGGGCACTGTGGCTCATGCCTCCAGCACTTTGGGAGACTGAAGCAGGAGGATCTCTTGAGCTCAGGAGTTCAAGATCAGCCTGGGCAATGTGGCAAAACCCCATTTCTACCAAAAAAATACAAAAATTAGCCAGACATAGTGGCACATCTGTAGTATGAACTACTTGAGGGGTGGAAGAATTGTGTAAGCTGGGGAGTATGAGGCTGCAATGAGCCAAAATTGTACCACTGCACTCCAGCATGGGCAACAGAGAGAGACCCTGCCTCAGAAAATAAAAAATAAAAATAAAGGCTTTATTAGTATTTCCTTATAAGACAATTTTTTTTAACTGTTTCAAATTATAATGCCAGTAAATAGTATTACCATACAATGGAATGGGGGAACTATTATACTGCAATATATTAAAAGGCTGTCATAGACCAGGAACAGTGGCTTATGCCTATAATCCCAGCACTTTGGAAGGCAGAGGCAGATGGTTACCTCCTAAGCCCAAGATATTCTAAAAATATACTGGATATAATATACAGAATATAATAATTCCAGACCAGTCTTGGCAACATGGCAAAACCCCATCTCTACAAAAAATAAAAAAATTAGCTGGGCATGGTGGCATGTACTTGTAGCCCCTAGATACTCAGGAGGCTGAGGTCGGATGAATACTTGAGCCCAGGAAGTGAAGGCTGCAGTGAGCGGACATTCACCACTGCACTCCAGCCTGGGTCACAGAGCAAGACCCTATCCCAAGGGAGAAAAAAAAAAAACAAACTGGTACCAGAGGGACCACACAGCAATTCTCAGATTATGAAAGCACAGTACAATCCTTTATTCATTTTATTAATAATCTGACTCCAAAGCAGCATAGAAACGTCTATAATATCTAAATTATTCACATAAATATTCAGTTTAGTAAGTATAAGCCCTGCTTTCCCAACTGAACTACAAATTCCTCCTAGAAACTGTTACCGCTTTTATAATACCCGGTGTGTGTGTGTGTGTGTGTGTGTGTGTACAAGTAACTCAACTCCAGGTAGGAAATGTACAACAGGGGAAGATTGAGACTAAACAACAAAGCTTCAAAGAAAAAGGCAAAGTCTGAAAACTAGCTATAACAGTTTTTTCATTTTTGAAAAATAAAGTAGTTTTAAATTACAATCAAAGGGATTTACATTAGGACAAGAAAAATGAATATAGGAATGGCCTGGTGTGTTCCCAGTACTTTGGGAGGCCAAGGCAGGTGGATCATAAGGTAAGGAGCTAAAGACCAGCCTGACCAACATGGTGAAACCCTGTCTCTACTAAAAATACAAAAGTTGGCCAGGCATGGTGGTGCACACCTGTAATCCCAGCTACTTGGGAGACTGAGGCAGAGAACTGCTTGAACCCGGAGGGATTCTGTCTCAGGAAAAAAAAAAAAAAGTGGGGTGGGGGGAGGAGCAGGCATGGTGGCTCATGCCTGTAATCCCAGCATTTTGGGAGACCAAGGCGGGCAGATCACATGAGGTTGGGAGTTCGAGACCAGCCTGACCAACATGGAGAAACCCTGTCTCTACTAAAAATACAAAAATTAGCCGGGCGTGGTGGCACATGCCTGTAATCCCAGCTACTTGGGAGACTGACGCAGGAGAATCGCTTGAACCCAGGAGGGAGAGGTTGTGATGAGCTGAGATTGTGCCATTGCACTCTAGCCTGGGCAACAAGAGCAAAACTCCGTCTCAAAAAAAAAAAGAAAGAAAGAAAACAATATAGAAACTCATTTTTGACATTATTTGTAGATATGGAGCTGGAATATTCACATAATGAAGGTTAAGAGTAGACCACAGAGGCTGGGGGCGGTGGCTCAAGCCTGTAATCCCAGCACTTTGGGAGGCCGAGGCGGGTCGATCATGAGGTCAAGAGATCAAGAACATCCTGGTCAACATAGTGAAACCACGTCTCTACTAAAAATACAAAAAATTAGCTGGGCATGGTGGCGCGTGCCTGTAATCCCAGCTACTCAGGAGGCTGAGGCAGGAGAATTGCCTGAACCCAGGAGGCAGAGGTTGCGGCGAGCCGAGATCACGCCATTGTACTCTAGCCTGGGTAGCAAGAGCGAAACTCCGTCTCAAAAAAAAAAAAAAAAAAAAAAGAAAAAGAAAAGAAAAGAAAAGAAAAAAAAATGAAAAGAGTAGACCACAGAAATATTATAACTAAAGTTTCCCGAAATCTGAAAATATTCCAAAAATATACTGGATATGATATGCAATATCTAGCACATTATACAACTCCAATACTATTATTCTTATAAAGGCAAAAACATGAAAAATAAGCAAACAACAATAATCCCTTCAACTCTATTATTTTTTTTTAAAGTGCTTAAAACTGCTAAAAACAAACAAACAAAAAACCAAAAAAACAAACAAACAAAAAAAACAACACCAACCCCAAAACCAAAAACCATACCTTTTTGGGAAGAGGTTCTTCGTTGGTCATCTTGAATCCTAAAAAAGAATTGGGGAAAACAAGTTCAACTGATTTTCTTCCAGTCTTCCAGTGAAGGCAGGAATAAAAAATACTAACTCTTTCAAATCAATTTATCAGTGAACTAAATTATTGTTAAATAATTAGGATTTTTAAATTTAAACAATTTTAGAATAGTTTTAGATTTACAAAAAAAGTGGCAAAGATATTACAGAGTTCCTATATACTCTACACTCAGATTCTCCTTTGTTAACATCTTCCATTATTATAGTTATTAGGCAACTTTTACATATTCCCTTGTAAAAAGCAGCCATTCCAATCATTTGATGTTGCTATAAAGGGTCAAGAGAAATATAATTTTTCGTCACACTTACAACTACCCTATGAAAATCTTGTTGCAGAAGTGATACTAATCTCAAGCAGTATCTAGAAATGTTGCTAAAAGGCTATTAAAGGGTAATACCAGTTTCTAAGTCTTTCCTTTTATAGCATTACGTTGTTAAAGTAAGTTAGTACCTACCACAGTCATAATTTATTACTGTCCAATAGTTTTTTAGAGGTATTATATATTTTAAAATGTATGTTATACCGGCTGGGGGTAATGGCTCATGCCTGTAATTCTAGCACTTTGTGAGGGCAAGGCGGTGGATCACTTGAGGTCAGGAGTTCAAGACCAGCCTGGCCAACATGTTGAAACCCGGTCTCTACTAAATATAAAAAATTAGCTGGGCGTAGTGGCAAGCACCTGTAATCCCAGCTGCTAGGGAGACTGAGGCCAGGAGAATCACCTGAACCCAAGAGGTGGAGGTTGCAGTGAGCTGGGATTGCTGCGTTCCAGCAATCAGAGTGAGATCCATCTCAAAACAAAAACAAAACCAAACAAACCCATACATATGTTACACCTTAATAAAAATATTCCTACAGTATTTAATTTTATGCCAAATATTTTGTACCTCAAAATTAGCTTCTTCATGATACAAAATTAACTTAACTGTTTCAAAAGACAGGTAAATGAATTCAAGTAGAGAGCACTTTATTATGCTCACTGTCTTTTAGGATGAATGCTAATAGCAGCTATTATCCATTAAACTACAAATCCACACACACACACACAAAAGAAAGACAAAAAATGTGTAATAAACATACTTTAAACACCACATTAAAATACAAGGTTGAAAAAAAAATCTATGCAACATAAAGAGCTAAGCTGACAAACATAAAATCTTTATATAAAAATTCTATGAGGACTAAAAAATTGAATCACGGTTTTGAGTACCAGTGCTCTTTTGAAAAAAACACTTAAATTATATTTGGCATATTAATTATATAAACTGAGAAATTAGTTCTTACACTAATTTAGTAATTCTTATTCTTTCTTTCTTTTTTAAGAGATGGGGACCCACCATAGTACCCAGACTCGTCTTGAACTCTTGGGCTCAAGAGATCCTCTCATCTTAGCCTCCGAAGTAGGTAGGACTATACATGTAAGGATCATGCCCAGCCCTAGGTATTATTTCTAATAGCATACTCATAAAAGTTCCCTTAAAGTATTTATGGCTTATTTTACTTACTTATTTTACTTATTATAAATTCAAAACTACTAGAAATCTGACCAAAAAATTGGCATGTCAAACTGAGTTTTTAAAAGCTACCTGAGGTGTGGTGGCTCACACTTGTAATCCCAGCATCTTTGGGAGGCTGAGACAGGAGAATTGCTTGAGCCTAGGAGTTTGAAGCCAGCCTGGGAAATGTGGTTAAGACCTTGTCTCTAATTAAAACACACACACACACACACACACGCACACGCACACGCACACGCACCAAAACTACTTGATTTGTCCCACTTGATTTTGAGATTCCTCAAAAGATGATGATCTTCCAATAGCATTTTTTACTATGACCAATCTCAAATCTACTTTATAAGATATTCTAATCATACTATTAAACCCTGGTTTTCAGATTAAGTAAATTGTGTGGAAGGCAGAATTTACGAGAAAAATCTTAATTGATCTTAGATTACTGGCTTGCTTATTTTCCTCTTTAATCCCCCCTTTAAAAAAAAAAAAAAAAAAAAAAAGACAGTCTCCCTCTGTTACCCAGACCAGAGCGCAATAGTGTGATCACGGCTCACTGCAATCTTGACCTCCTGCCTCAGCCTCCTGAGTACCTAGGACTACAGGCATGTGCCAACACATGTGGCTAATTTTGTACTTTTTTTTTTTTTTTTTTTTTTTGGTAGAGACAAGGTTTCACCGTGCTGCCCAAGTGGGTCTTAAACTCCTGGGCTCAAGCAACCCAACTGCCTCAGCCTCTCAAAGTGCTGGGATTACAGGCATGAGCCATCACACCTTGCCTTCCCCTCTTGAATCTCTCTCATGCGATACAGCAAACAGATAAAAACCTGAGTATATCACTTGTTTCTGAGCTAACTGTATATAGTTTGTTTCACTGAACAGGTCACTCTGTCCTATGAACACATAAACCATATTTCTATGACATAAAATGTATATATTTTTTTCTTTAAATTGGTCCCTGCCTACTTTATGATTCTTGTTGCCTAGTTTGTAATCTCTGCTGCCGTTATAGAAGGCTGCTTTGTGACTACCTTAATCTGGTAGCAGTCATTTTAATCATCTGAGAAACCATTATCATATTTATCTCCACAGGTCTGTTTCTATTTTAGCATGACACATACATCCACTCCATTAAACTGCAAAGTCTTAAGCAAAGATATCAAACCTGGCCTTTTGATGTAATTCATTCTCTCTTTCTTTCCCTCTCTCCCTCTCTCTCTCTCTTTCTCTCTCTCTCGTCCGGCTAATTCCGTATTTTTGGTAGAGACGGGGTTTCACCATATTGGTCAGGCTGGTCTTGAACTCCTCATCTCGTAATCCTCCCACCTTGGCCTCCCAAAGTGCTGCAACTACAGGTGTAGGCCACCACGCCCGGCCTTTTTTATTTTTTGAGACAGAGTCTTGCTGTCACCAGACTGGAGTGCAATGGCATGATCTCAGATCACTGCAACCTCCACCTCCCAGGTTAAAGCAATTCTCCTGCCTCAGTCTCCTGAATAGTTGGGACTATAGGCATGAGCCACCACACCCAACTAATTTTTGTATTTTCAGTAGAAACAGGGTTTCACCACGGTGGCCAGGATGGTCTCGATCTCTTGACCTTGCAATCCACCTGCCTCAGCCCCCAAAGTGTTGGGATTATAGGCACGAGCCACTGTGCCCAGCCTAATTTTTGTATTTTTAGTAGAAACGGGGCCATGTTGGCCAGGCTGGTCTGGAACTCCCAACTTCGGGTGATCCACTCACCTCGGCCTCCCAAAGTGTTGGGATTATAGGCATTAGCCACCACGGCCAGCCAATAATATTTTTAATTTTAAAAATCTTAAAGACAATTTTAGATATTTGAATTGTACATATTTAACCACTATATAAGTACCTGTATCTATGCATATGTAAACATAAAATTTTGAGAACAAGGAACTTCACATAACAAGTAATGTGGTAGAGATTTGTGAGTGACAGTTTGAAAACAGTTAAATTTATCACTAAGGCTAGGTGATATACCTGTTTATCTAGTTACTGGGCATCCTACCTACTCAGTATGTAAAATTTTAGTTATAATACTAAAGTATCATGGATGCTATTCAATATAAATTCCAGTTTATAAGTTATTATAGTTGGCCCTTGAACAACCCAGGTTTTAGCTGCATGGGTCCACTTATACATGGATTGTTTTCAATAAAACTCAGATAAAAATAAAGTACTGGGATCAAAAATACAGCATTCATGGGATACAGAACCTGAGTCTGCAAAGGGCAGACTTTTCATACAAGAGGGTTCACATTCCCATGCCAGGATTTTGGCAAGGATCGTCTGCATGTATTTCTACAACTGGATACTTCCCCTAGTTTTACTTGTTTATTCCCTTCTTAAAGACAGGTATCCATATTCTTATTCCATTAAAATAAAATTAACTGCAAGCTTAGTTAGCAACAAATGAGATCATTACCTGCTTTTAAAGGGCATTAAAAGGACCGGGAAACACATGAAGAAAGTTTGGATAACCTTGGTATTCTAAAACAGGGTATCAACTTTGCAAATATAAAAGGAGCAGAATCTCTGGGCCCCATCTCAAAAAGAATTACCATAATCAGGGCCCTATCTCAAAAAGAATTACCACAACCAGGGTCCAAATACTGTGCTATTTCTGAAGACAGACATTAATCTTCAGCATGGTAACTGGCAGAAAACGGGCATTTAATTATTAGTTTCCTTTTTCCCATAAAAAATACAGACTCAGTGTTTCTTGAAAAACCTGAAGAGAAAATTCACAGGTTGAGGATAATAATCATACTGTCCTCATGACTGTTTCTAACTCTTACTGCTGAATTTCTTGGCATCTCCAATATTTAGAATTCTAAACAGAAGTTACTTAAATTTTTTTGAGACAGGATCTCACTCTGTCATCCAGGCTGGAGTGCAGTAGTGACTTGATCATAGCTCACTGCAGCCTCCATCTATTGGGCTCAAGTGATCCTCCTGCCTCAGCCTCTTGTGTAGCTGGGATCAGAGGTGCACCCAGCTAAAATTTTTTTTCCCCTTGTTAGTAGACATGAAGTCTTACTATGTTGCTCAGGCTGGTCTTGGGCTCCTGGGCTTGAGTGATCCTCCTGCCTGTGCATCCAAAAGGCTGGGATTACAGCGGTGAGTCACCATGCCCAGCTTGCAGTTATTGAAATTACAAAAACTGGTTTATGTTCTTTTATTTTTTAACAAGTTTGATGTGGAGCAGATTTTAAACAAATGGTGCTTTTTACTGACATTTTGTTTAAAAATAAAATTCTGTATTTGTAAGTCAGGGGTAAATACAGGTTTTAGATAAATGTCTACACTTCCTAACTCAACCTTTAGAGTCACTTTTAAGATCACTCTAGTTGTTTGGGGTATCCAATTTGGGAAATCCAGAGCCTCAACATTTACAAAGAGAATCCTTCTTCAACTTTAATCTGATGAAAAGTCCATCTTTCCTTAAAAGTCCATGATATGCCACAAAGTCAAATGCATCATCTGGGAAAAGGCAAATTAGAACAGGTTCAAAATTTACAACTATCTGCAACATTCGACTATTTGGTCAAAATAGAACCTAATTCATAATTCTGACTTTCACACTGCATAAATGTACTGAGAAGTTTGGTATTCCCCAGGTCAATTTTTTTTTTTTTTTGTGCAAATGACAAGCACAACCACCATTTAAAGTCATTTCTAGACTCATAAAGACAATGGATATTCCAGGTTCTCCGAACAATCTATTCTAGCATCAGAAAAAAACAGAATGATCATCATTTGGAGTCAATTAAAATTGAATCTTGAAGAAAAATAATAAAGAAAATATACTCAGTACTTATGAGTCATGCATTTAATAACAGCACTTTTCAAAGTCAAAGTTAGTTTCCATTTTCCAGGATGAAAATGACTGTGAGTCATTGGGAATTAAAATAGTTATTAATTAATACATTGGGGATAAGGGCCTCAAATTTGCCCCTCAAAAAAGTGGTAGCATGATAATTACTTTTTAAATACGTAAAGGTTCCAGTTATTTATGTAGATAATTTAGAGATAATATATCTCAAACTTAAGAATATCAGGACCATCAGCTACTCTTGATTCCTTAACACAGAAAAACAGCTTAGTATGGAGTTCAGTTTAGACTGGCTAGGTGCCTAGCACCCCAGCTCCCAGTAGCTTCCTGACTCTCAGCATCATAAAGTTAGGCAACTCAGTTCCCTCTAAAGAGAGGCAAGTGCCAGCCAACACAACTTCAGTAAGAAAGCACAGTACCTTGGTGAAACAAATCATAGCTGAATGTAAGAAACCAATCTTCAGACACTGTAGTAGCACAGTACTGATCAGGAATTGAAAGGCCACCTTTTCCTTACCCTCTGTCGTGTGATTTTTGAGTAAGTCATTTAACCCTTGCAGTTTCCAAGTCAGCAAAACGTAATTTTGCCTGTCTCAAAGTACTGCAAATAGTAATGCTTTCAGCACAATAAAAATGCTATACAAATAACAGATTTTTCAAATAAAATATGAACATAAAAGGCAACTTTCATGTGCACTTGGAAAAAATTAAATTCTACTAACTACATCTTCAAAGGCAGAAAATATTTACAGCACTTTGTTCTAGTCAGATGGAACACCTTGTTACACACAATGAAGTATACTATTATAAAAATACTGAAAAGTTTTTCGATGTTAAGCTTATAAACGACAAGAAACAAAATATTGCCGGGCGTGGTGGCTCACGCCTATAATCCCAGCACCTTGGGAGGCCGAGGCAGGTGGATCACGAGGTCAAAAGATCGAGACCATCTTGGTCAGCAAGGTGAAACCCCGTCTCTACTAAAAATACAAAAATTAGCTGGGCATGGTGGTGCACGCCTGTAGTCCCAGCTACTCGGGAGGCTGAGGCAGGAGAATTGCTTGAACCCAGGAGGCGGAGGTTGCGGTGAGCCGAGATTGTGCCACTGCACTCCAGCCTGGGCAACAAGAGTGAAACTCCGTCTCAAAAAAAAAAAAAAAAAAAAAAAAAAAGAAACAAAATATTTAGAGGCAGAAGAGTGCACTGGAAATAATTTAAAAAGTAAAAACAAGAATAAAACCAAAATACTATCTTCAGTCTTGTTTTGCTGAAGGACCTACTAACAATTTTGAAGAACAAGAAATATACAATGATCAATCCTGCTAAACAATATACTCAAGGGGATTCAATACTACATACAAGACCGTAAGAGATCTTGGATGGTTTAATGTACTGTACAAACTGTGACAATGCTCATCTCCACATCATAGAGCTACTACACATTTTCTGTTTCATCTCTACCAGCTTATTTCTGACAGACAATACACAAAAATATTTTGAACAAACATGACTCAACGTTGAATTGGAAAAGCTAGACATAAAGGAGCCACGTAAAAATCAGCAGTGCCTGGGACATTCTACGATTACTTTCATCCTCTGGGAGTTAGAAATTTCGGTAGCTCATCCAAATTCTGCCACTGAAAAAGTACGTAAAAATGCTTACCTTTTAAACTACGTGTGTGTTTAAGATACCTTAAGATCTAAAGGCACTGTTAGAAACACACCTACCCAAACCCTTAAAATGTAACCTCGACCTTATTAAAAGCCTACTTGTGGACTGCAATCTTTCTCCGTTTCCCTTGCCTAGTGAGATGCTATTTGAATGAATTAAAATGTACCCACCTCGAAAATATTTTTCGTTCAGTTTTAAATTATGGTTTTAAATGTCCGTCATATGTTTACCGTAAAAAACTTAACAGCCAAAATTTTAAAACACAAAAAACGAGAACTTGTGATGGATCTATGATGTCCATTTATCTTCCGAAGCAATGGAATTAACTAAATTAAAAACTAGACAAAATGGACACAAATACAACTTGCAATTGTAACATAATCACCGAAGTATCTTCTTACTAAATAATAATTTTTTTTTTCCTAATCACAGGCTATTAAGATAGTCCTTTGGGATCGAACTACCTACTTGGGCTGTTCTTCCTACTTGGGCTGTTCCACTATGTGTACACTGACTTATGAAAAACGGTTAAAAAAATAATCGATTAACTGTCTCACAGGGATCCAAAGTGAGAATTGGATTTCACGAAAACCTGCAAATAATTCAGTTTCTTTCCTCAGAATGCATGCATTCACTTAAAAATGGAAATCTGCAAGATAACGTATCTGCAGTAACAACCTACTGCGTGACACCAAATAGGGGAACGAACGATTTTTTTTTTCTCTTGCTGAACTCGTTAGTGCCGCCAGGTTCTCGGGAGAGGCCCTAGGCGGGGAAAGGCCGAGCGCCGCCGCTAAGCCCGGGGAGGGCAACCTTCTGCCTCCGTGAATGGCCGGTCTCTCCGACCGCCAGAGCACCCGTCTCACCCCGGGCCCCGGGGACGGAGAACGGAGGTAAAATGGCCTCGGGGTGGCGGAAGTGTTGCCCGCAGGCGGGAAGATAGAGCGGATTGCGAGAGACCGGTGCCGCCCGGGGCCCGGGTGATCCCTCCGGCCCTGCCCGCCCCTCACCGGCCCGGGGCCGCTGCGCCCCAGCCCTCAGGCCCCGGAGATCCCCGCGGCCGCTCCGGCCAGCCGGCCCGCACCTACCTCTCCTGACGGAAGCCGCGCCGGCACCGCCAGTCGCGGAGGCCGAGGCCGCGCTGCTCGCCCCGCCGCCCGGGCCCCCCGGGCCGCCGCGCAGCCGGACCGCTCTGCCGCCGGCTCCGCCGCGCTCCTAGTCCCGCCACAACCCCAGCGCTCCCCTTTATTTGCGGGTCTCGCTGCCACAAAATGGCGCTGAGGGAGGAAACCAGGCCCCGCCGCCCGGCCCCGCCCCGTCGCCCGGCCCCGCTCCGCGCCGCCCCGCCCCACAGCCCGGCCCGAACGCGCCGCCTGCCAGCGCCGCTGCCTGCCGCCTCCCGCCAGCCTCACCGCTCCGCCATGTTCGCGTTCTGGCCCACTCACCGAAGAGTCGCCTTTCAGGCGTGGCCGCGGTCACTCGCCCGCCGCCGGGCCCCCGCCAGGAGAGGAAAAGTGAGGGGAGGGCGGCCGCTGGCCTAGCCCGATCGGGGCCTCGAGGCGCAGTGGAGCAGCTGCTCCCCGGTAACACACCCCGTCTTTTCCCAGGAGCCTGGCGCGAGCCCCCGCGGCCGCCGGAGCTCAGCGAACGCGGTGGGGGCGGGAAGGGAAGCGGCTGGAGGGGCGGGCCGGCGAGGTCGGAGGTCAGCCGCGGGGCATCACGGGAAGGGAAGGTGGCCGCCTGGTGGACGCACTGGCCGTGGCCACCTGCGGCTGCGGGACGGCTTTGTGCGGAGGGATCTGGGCGAAGGCGGCGCGTGATTGGCAGCTCTGCGGTCGCGACGCCCATCCTTGATGCTTCCGCGCGTCCGAGGACCAGGTGCCAGCTCCAGAGGGGCCGTGGGCGGCGAGCCGGGGGCGTTTACGCTTAGCAGAAGCTCACCTGTAAGTTTTGAGAACGTAGAAACCGATGCCCTCCCTCTCTTCTGTCCTGAGGCGTAGTCTCCTGGCTTCCGGGTTTGCTCCTCCTTGACGTCTCTGGGGACGTGTCGAGGAGCTATTGTTCTCTGGCGTCGGAGGTTGCGCTGTGACCGCGGCGCTGAGGGCGCCTTGCTAACTCTAACGAGGGAAAGGCGGCCCTGAGGGGCTTAGTGAACCCAATCAAAGGGGTCCTGCAAGTCGAGTAGACTCCCTGAAGCAAGACTGCGCCATCTGGATCGCCGAGTTAGGATGGATGGGACGGTGTTATCTGAAGAATGTGGAGCAATCTCTAAACACTTACTAGAGGATCACGTAATTCTTTGGATTGGTCTGCCCTTAGCCGGCTTTATCAAACCTGTTTATCCCCGAAGGAGTGTCTTGTAGTAAGGTGATTTATAAGGATCAGATTAAAGTACACTCCAGATGGTCATAGTATATTCCCCGTGAATCAGATCCGTTTCGGGAAAGTCTTTGCAACTTGTATCACAAGAACTCTCAAAAATTGAAAACAAAAAGTCCCAAAGGAAAAAATGGGGAAGGACATGAACAAATAATTCTCAGAAAAAATACAGTGATGGTCCTTAAACATAGAAAGATGCTCCACCTCACTTACAATGGAAATATGCATTGAAATTACCTTTCTGGTGGGAGTGGAAAAATGGTTCAAATTCTGTGGCGTACAAATTACGTCTGTTTATTCCTACTCCTTGCAGCCCTAACCTTATTCTGAAGGTACAGCTCTACACATGGAAACTATGTATACAAGGGTATTGCAGTGCTATTTGTCATAGCAAAAGTTAGGGATAACCTAAATATCCACTGATAGGGAACGGATAGGGAATGGTGCATCCATCCAATAGAACACAATGCAGCCCTTAAAAAGATTCAGAAAATAACCATGTGTTGCTTATTTTATATATCTTAATATATAAAAATATTTATATTTAACATGCGTATTTACGTGTACATGCTTATTTTGTGAGGAGGGATTGGAAGGATATCCCGGAAACTTAAAATAGTTACCTATAAAGAGTGGTGGGCAAGAGTGGAGGTGAGATAGAAGCAAGACTTCTCTTTGAACTTTTAATTTTACATAGCCGACAAGTAAATAAAAAAGTAAACAAACTCCAAAGTTGAAAGCAAATTGAAACAACTGAAAACTCTTTTAAGTGCAGCTTTTTTTTTTCTTTTTCTTTTTTTTTTTTTAGACAGAGTCTTGGTATGTTGCCCAGGCTAGAGTGCAGTGGTACAATCTCAGCTCACTGCAACCTCCCCATCCTGGGTTCAAGCAATTCTCTCACCTCAGCCTCCAGAGTAGTTGGGATTACAGGCATGTACCACCACCCCTGGCTAATTTTTGTATTTTTTTTTTTTTTTTGAGACGGAGTTTCACTCTTGTTACCCAGGCTGGAGTGCAATGGCGTGATCTCGGCTCACCGCAACCTCTGCCTCATGGGTTCAGGCAGTTCTCCTGCCTCAGCCTCCTGAGTAGCTGGGATTACAGGCACACGCCACCATGCCCAGCTAATTTTTTGTATTTTTAGTAGAGACGGGGTTTCACCATGTTGACCAGGATGGTCTCGATCTCTTGACCTCGTGATCCACCCGCCTCAGCCTCCCAAAGTGCTGGGATTACAGGCTTGAGCCACCATGCCGGCTAATTTTTGTATTTTTAGTAGAGATGGGGTTTCACCATGTTGGCCAGGCTCACTCCTGACATCAGGTGATCCGCCTGCCTAGGCCTCCCAAAGTTCTGGAATTACAGGTGTGAGCCACAACAACCGGCCCCTTGGGGCTTTTGAACACAGTCCTCTAGTAGTGTACCTGTGTTGAGATAGTGTAGTCTTTCCTCCTTATATGCAGGAGATTGGATGTAGGACCTTCTGCAGGCATATACAGAAATCTACATACCTGCCTTGGCCTACCAAAGTGCTGGGACTACAGGCCTCAGCCACCTGGCCTTTTTCTGAACTTCTTTGATCTTGCATTTATATCTCATTCTCTCATACACTGGAAATCTTTGTACACAGTAACATTAAAGTACTTATGTTATCCCATCATATCACATACAATACATAGTTTGAAAACCACAGCAACAATATTAGTCAATCATAAATCAGTTAGTGAAGCTGAAAGCTCCTTTGCATTTTTTTCATCATTAGGATACACAGTTGACCCTTGAACAACACTGGTTTGAACTGCCGGGTGGCTGCTGCTTGCAATCCCAGCACTTTGGTAGGCCAAGGCAGGAGCATCACTAGAGTCCAGGAGTTTGAGACCAGCCTGGGCTACATAGAAAGAAGAACATTAAATTTTAAAAAGAAAAAAAAAAAACATTAAATTTTAAAAAAATGGGTATCTCCATTTTTTAAGTTGAAAACAATTTTTAAGAAGTTCATTGATCCTGAAAAAAACTAATATAAAAAATTTTAAGAAGTTCAGAAAAAAAAAAGTCTGTAATACGGAGTTTAAACTGCAGGGCTGAGTGCAGTAGCACACACCTGTAATCCCAGTGCTTTAGGAAGCCAAAGTGGCCTAGGAGTTCAAGACCAGCCTGGGCAATGGTGAGACCCTGGCTCTACAAAGTACAGATAAAATAGCCAGGGATGGTAGCCTGTGCCTGTAGTCCTAGCTACTTGGGATGCTGAGATTGGAGGACCAGTTGAGCCTAGGAGTTTAAAGTTACAGTGAGCTGTGATCTCACCATTCCACTCCAGCCTGGGCTATAGACCCTATCAAAAAGAAAGAAGAAAAAAAGTTTTAAACTGCAAGATAAAATTTCCTAGTTCTGTGCACTGAAAGGGCCTCGAAGCACTAGGGTGACCAATTGGTCAGGTTTGCCATGGACTGAGGGGTTTTCTGTGGATGCTGGACCTTCAGGTTAAAACCGGTACAGCCGGGCGCAGTGGCTCAAGCCTGTAATCCCAGCACTTTGGGAGGCCGAGGCGGGTGGATCACGAGGTCAAGAGATCAAGACCATCCTGGTCAACATGGTGAAACCCCGTCTCTACTAAAAATACAAAAAAATTAGCTGGGCATGGTGGCACGTGCCTGTAATCCCAGCTACTCAGGAGGCTGAGGCAGGAGAATTGCCTGAACCCAGGAGGCGGAGGTTGCGGTGAGCCGAGATCGCGCCATTGCACTCCAGCCTGGGCAACAAGAGCGAAACTCCGTCTCAAAAAAAAAAAAAAAAAAACTGGTACAGTCCCAGGTGACCTAGGATGTACAGGCAAGGTCATCCTACAGTAACAATGAGCACATCTAACACCCAGATCTTGGTTTCTGAATTCCATTTCCCACTAAAGAGATCCAGAGCTCCTTGGAGAACTGGCTGATTCCAGCTCTGGGCTAGGGGAAAAAAAGAGTTGAGCCAGGTATTTCACTGTGCCTGAATGCAAAGGAAGTGCTTAGACCAGTGAGACTATGCCAGCAGTATTTAGGAGAACTAACAAAACTAATCCATAGTGATAGACAGCAGATCAGTAGTTGGCTAGGAGGGGAAGAGAGAAGGGATTGCCTGGAAAGGAAAATGGGATAACTTTTGGGGGTGATGGAAATGTTCTGTGTTCTGGTTAACAGAGATATATACATTTTTCAAAATTCATTAAATTGTGGCACTATAAAGGATGCATTTTATTGCATGTAAATTATACCTCAATAAAATGTGGAAATAAGCCAAGGCAAACCAAATGAGAAAAGCAAAGTCTGTTGAGAACTTGCTGTAGCAAGGGAGTCAGCACCATCACTTACGGTTTGGCAGAGGTTCAAAGGCATGCAGAGGAGTGGGAAAGCTTTACAGTGGACAAGGGAAGTTTTCACAGGAATGCCTGATGGGAAGCTGTCGCATGGGGAAGCTGGAAGCTAACTAGGAGTTGGCATCCCATGGGCTTGGTTAAAGGAGCATATTTGACTTTCTCTGGATGGTCATAAACTAGAAGTGGGGACAAAAATTAGGGAAGCTGTTAATTTTTAATCAAGTCCTGGTCATTTTGAGCTGATGTCATAGAAGTTACTATTTAGCTTCCTGGTTTGCTACCAGAGATAGCGGTTTGCCTTACTACAGGTCTGGTTGATAACAGGTTTGGCTTTTAGGCTGGGAGTACAGCACTTATGGTAGATAAATGATTGGTTTACTGGGCTAGTTGTTGCAGGTAATGGGTCAGAATTCTCTTTTTATGTATATTGTGGCCATTGTCCATTTGTATTTTTACTGTCTCAAAAATAAATTTTAGAGACATGGGAGTCAGCTCGAAGGATCTCCCACAGGCCAAATTTAGGGCAGTTTTAGCATCAAAAAGAAAATGCATACTATTGATTGCAAATACTGAATAAATAAAAATCTACTCTCTAGTATAGAGAAGAGAGAATGAGAAGAGGGAAACTATTTTTCCATCATTGGTAGCGACTATTATACCAGTTTTTTACTCTGAAAAGTAGTTATTAAAGGGAGATAGCATTTACCCTATTGTTTGTTGTTTGTTTTGTTTGTTTTTGTTTTAAAGATAGAGTTGCTCTCCCATCCAGGCTGGAGGCCAGTGACACAAACATGGCTCACTGCAGCCTTGATATCCTGGGCTCAAGTGATCCTCCTGCCTCCTCAGAAGCTGGGACTACAAGTGCTTGCCACCATACCTGCTAAGTTTTTTGACTTGTTTGTTTTGTTTTTTTAGAGATGGGGTCTTGCTATGTTAACCAGGCTGGTCTTGAACTCCTGGGCTCAAGTGATGCTCCCACCTCAACCTCCCAAATCGCTCAGAGTATAGGCATGGACCACTGCTCCCAGCCTACTTAGCCTTTTTTTAAAAAAAATATAAAGAATGTGGGTTATCCCCAGTTGATGAGGAAAAACTCTTTACTATAGGATGCCAGCTAATAAGTGTAGAATAAAATACAGAATTAGAAAATAACTGGCCAGGTGCAGTGGCTCATGCCTGTAATCCCAGCACTTTGGGAGGCCAAGGCAGGAGGATCACTTGAGGTCAGGAGCTCGAGACCAGCCTGGCCAACATGGTGAAACCCCCGTCTCAAACATAAAACACAAAAATTAGCCAGGTGTGGTGGTGCATGCCTCTAGTTCCAGCTATTCAGGAGGCTAAAGTACAAGAATTGCTTGAACCTGAGAGGTGGAGGCTGCAGTGAGCTAAGATCATGCCACTGCACTCCAGCCTGGACAGTGGAGCGAGACTCCATCTCAAAAAACGACACAAAATAAAAAAAATACATGATATACACCTTAATGAAATAATTGACTCAAACAAGGAGTATCAATGGACTTTAAAATCTTTAGATGAAAGATTGCTAGGAAATGCCACCAAAGTATCACTCCACAAACTACTTACAAGAAAACACAGGCCAGGCTTAGTGGCTTACACCTGTAATCCCAGCACTTTGGGGTCTGAGGCGGGTGGATCATGAGGTCAGGGGTTCAAGACCAGCCTGGCCAACATAGTGAAACCCTGTCTCTACTAAAAATACAAAAAAAGAAAAAAAGTAGCTGGGTGCACTACTGCTACTGTAGTCCAAGTAGCTGGGAGTGCAGAGGCCAAGGCAGGAGAATCGCTTGAACCTGGGAGGTGGAGGTTGGTTGCAGGGAACCGAGATCGCACCACTGAACTCCAGCCTGGGCAACACAGGGAGACTCTGTCTCTTTAAAAAAAAAAAAAAAGAAGAAGAAAAGAAAGAAAAAAATACACTTCTGTAGCAGAGCCATCTGGTGGTCACCATTTGAACCAAACCATCAAATTTAGTATCAGTAATAGTGGGACAACCTTCAGTTTACAGAGCATACAAGAGAAAGGGTTGTTGTGCAAATCTAATTATGCTAACAAAGATAATTATTTTAAAAAAGTCAAGAGACTATAAGCAATAAATATTTAATGAATGGCTGAGCTAGGCATACTGTAGTCTCTCAATATCTAACTAGCTTTAAGTCACCATTTCAAATAAAATATCAACACATGATGAAAGTTACAACCATCCTTTTCCTGGGGTTGCGCTACTACTGTCCAATGAGTGCCTAGTGAGAGCAGTACAGCTAACTCCTGCACAACACACCAAAATTAGCTAGAGCTTTACTTTACCTTGGTGCAGTTTTTGGAAAAATGAAAGACGGCTTTTCTACACACAAAGTTGTTTACATATTACTGTATTTAAAAATACATACAGGCCAGGCATGGTGGCTCATGCCTGTAATCCCAGCACTTTGGGAGGCCATGTTAGGCGATCAGTTGAGGTTCAGAGTTCGTGACCAGCCTGGCCAACATAGGGAAACCTCATCTCTACTTAAAAAAAAAAAAAAAAAAACACACACACACACAAAAATTAGCTGGGTGTGGTTGTGGGCACTTGTAATCCCAGCTACTTCAGAGGCTAGGCAGGAGAATTGCTTGAACTCGGGAGGTAGAGGTTGCAGTGAGCCAAGATTGTGCCACTGCACTCCAGCCTGGGTGATGGAGCAAGACTCTTGTCTCAAAAAAAGTACAGGGCTGGGCACGGTGTCTAACACCTGTAATCCCAGCACTTTGGGAGGCCAAGGTGGGTGGATCCCTTGAGGTCAGGAGTTCGAGACCAGCCTGGCCATGTGGTGAAACCCTGTCTCTACTAAAAAAATACAAAAATTAGCCAGGGTGGTGGTGTGTGTCTGTGATCCCAGCTACTCGGGAGGCTGAGACAGGAGAATTGCTTGAACCCAGGAGGCAGAAGTTGCAGTGAGCCAAGATCGCATCGCTGCCCTCCAACCTGGGTGACAGGGCAAAACTCTCCATCTCAAAAACAAAACAAAAAAAGCCATGCTATCTAGTCAGGTCAAGATTACGTGAATTGGCTACTTCTTTGCCATCAGCCTAATACTTACAATATGATTTTTTTTTTTTTTAAGAAAAGGTCTTGCCCTGTTGCCCAGGCTGGAGTGAAGTAGCATGACCTTGGCTCACTGCAGACTCTGCCTTTTGGGCTCAGGTGATCCTCCTGCCTCAACCTCCCCAGGAGCTGGCACCACAGGCACAAGCCACCTCGTCTGGTTAATTTTTATAGAAACGGTTTTGCCATGTTGCCAAGGCTAGTCTCAAACTCCTGGGCTCAAGCAATCTGCCTCCCTCTGTTTTCCAAAGTGCTGGGATTACATGCATGAGCCACTGCACCTGACCCATAGCCTATAACTTTTAACCCTACTAATTTGATTTAGGAATCACCTAATAAAATACTAATTGAGAGGCGTCTGAGTCCATTCAGACCATAATGAAGTACCATAGACAAGGTGACTTATAAACAGAAATATATTTCTCACAGTTTTGAAGGCTGGGAGTCTGAGATGAGGGTGTCAGCATTTCTGGTGAGGGCCCTTTTCTGAGTTGCAGAATGCTGACTTTTCTTCTCTCTCTTCCCGCTCCCCCTCTTCCCGATGGAGTCTTGCCCTGTCATCCAGGCTAGAGTGCAGTGGTGTGATCTCAGCTCACTGCAACCTCCACCTCCTGGGTTCAAGTGATTTTCCCACCTCAGCCTCCTGAGTAGCTGGGATTACAGGCACGTGCCACCATGCCCTGATAATTTTTGTATTCTTAGTAAAGATGGGGTTTCACCATGTTGGCCAGGCTGGTCTTGAACCCCTAACCTCGTGATCCACCTGCCTCAGCCACCCGAAGTGCTGGGAATCCAGGCGTGGGCCACTGCGCCTGGCTGACTTGTCTTATCTCTTGTGTGGTGGAAAGGAAAAGAGAGTTCTATGGAATCCCTTTTATAAGGGCACTGATCTCATTCATGAGGGCTCTACCTTCATGACCTGATCACCTCCCAAGGGCCTCACCACCTACCTCCACATTGAGGGTTAAGATTTCAACATGAATTTTGGGTGAACACAAACATTCAATCTATTGCAGAAGTACCGAGGGAAAAAGAAAATTATTTGTAGTAATGCTAGTTTTTGTTATTGGCACCCAGAAATCCAGGGATCCTGGAGAGATTATCAGAGTTGTTTAAAAAAGTTAATATTAATCCATGATGCTTGCAAGAGCTCACATCTGGTCTGACTATGACCATGTCATGTTAGTGTCCTCTGCTTGGTCCATTCTTTCTGTCTGGAATGCTCTTTCTACTCCTCTGTGCCAGGTTATCTCCTAGTCACCTTTAGTAATTAGCCTAAGAAACATTACTTATTTACTTTGGTTTGTGTCAAGCATAGAGATTCGTGGTTTTACAGAGAGGGAAGCCAAACCAAACTTTCTAGCCTACTTTTTCTAATCTAGTGGATTTTACACTGACTTACAAGATTTTACTGTGAGCAGCAGTGCACCATATCAACCCAATGTGTCTAATCTCTGCAGATCACAAAGACTTCTACTAAGATTCTAAGTTTAAAAATAATAATAATAATAATAATTAAATAGGGCCGGCTGCAGTGGCTCACACCTGTAAACCCAGCACTTTGGGAGGCTGAGGCAGGTGGATCATTTGAGGCCAGGAGTTCTAAACCAGCCTGGCCAACATGGTGAAACTCTGTCCCTAAAAAAAATAAATAATAATAATTAGATTGCTATCATAACTAGACTATTATTAAAATATTATTTCAGAAATCCAAATGTTGATGAGATATCTGCATTCCTGTGTATATTTTAGCACCATTCACAATAGCCAAGATACATATAGACTCAGCCTATGTGTCTATCATCAGATGACTGTATAAGGAAAATGTGAAATATATATGGCCAGGCATGGTGGCTCATGCCTGTAATCCCAGGACTTTAGGTGGCTGAGGTGGGAGAATTGTTCAAGGCAGGGGTTTGAGATCAGCCTGGGCAACAAAGTGAGACCCTGTCTCTGCAAAAAAAATAAAAATTAGCCAGGCATGGTGGTATGTGCCCATAGTCCCAGTTACTTGGAGGCTGAGGTGAGAAGATTGCATGAGCCCAGGAGTTCAAGGCTGCAGTGAGCTATGAATGCACCTCTGCAGTGCAACCTGGGTGACAGAGTGGATAGACCCTATTCTAGATAAAGAAAGAAAGAAAAAGAAAGAAGAATAATACTATTAGCCATAGGAGGACATCAAGTGAAATAAGCCAAGTACAGAAAGATAAATATTGCATGTTCTCACTCATATGTGAAAGATAAAAAAGTTGATCTCATAGAAGTAGAGCATAAAATAGTGGTTACTAGAGGCTGGAAAGGGTAGGGGCAGGGAGAGGACAGCCAGAGGTTATTAACAGATACAGGCCGGACACAGTGGCTCAAGCCTGTAATCCCAGCACTTTGGGAGGCCAAGGTGGGTGGATCACGAGGTCAAGAGATCGAGGCCATCCTGGTCAACATGGTGAAACCCCGTCTCTACTAAAAATACAAAAAATTAGCTGGGCATGGTGGCGCGTGCCTGTAATCCCAGCTACTCAGGAGGCTGAGGCAGGAGAATTGCCTGAACCCAGGAGGCGGAGGTTGCGGTGAGCCGAGATCGCGCCATTGCACTCCAGCCTGGGTAACAAGAGTGAAACTCCGTCTCAAAAAAAAACAAACAAACAAAACAGATACAAAAGTACAGCTAGATGGGAGGAATAAGTGCTAGTGCTCTACCCCAAATAAGTGCTAGTCTACCCCAAAATATGTACAGTTATGTGTCAATTAAAAATAATAATTTTATGGCTAGGTGCAGTGGCTCATGCCTGTAAGCCTAGAACTTTAGGTGATTGAGATGGGAGAAGTGCTTGAACCCAGGAGTTCAAAACCAGCCTGGGTAACATAGCAAGACCCTGTCTCTCATTCAAAAATAATAATGGTTAAAAAAAAAATAGAGTTAGGTTTTAAACATTCTGAACTCCTTGGTGGGAGTGAGGAGCATTCGTTAGTCAACAGAGGTAACAGAGGTATGGGTAACTCAGTCAGTTATTCTTGGAAACAGACTTGTCTAGCTACTGGAAAAAAATCCCTTCATTAGGAAAAGTAAAGGCACCCTTTGCATGTAATTTCCCTATCCTGATCCCTATAATTTTTTCCTAGTTGCCCATTCAGTACAAATAACAGCAGCTTTCTGAAAAGGATTTAGCATGCCAGAATAACTGGACATTGCTGCACTCCTTCCAACATTTGCTGGGGTATCATGGCACACACTGCTGGTAGCCATGTTCCTCCTCTTGCACAATCTAGGAACTTCTAGGTTGTGTTTGAGTCATAGTATCTTCAGGCCAGGAGATGAATTATGGCTGGTGTAAGCCAATGTTTCTCAACAAGTGTGCTATTGGAATTTTGGACAGGACAGTTTGTGTGTTTATGCAAAAGTATTTTGTGCATTTTAGGACATTTGGAATCCCTACATCAACCCACTAAATGCCAATAGCACCGCTCTGTTTATGTGACAACTGAAAGTGTTCCTTCCTATGTTTTCAATACTGCCCCCTCCCCTCATACCCTTGATGAGAACCCCTGGTCTAAGGCAAGCATGGCTATCATGGTCTTTACCAAACAATGATGGTGCTTAGTCTTCTTGCAGGCAGAGTTGGCCAGTTGAGCAGTTCTGGCTGAAATCAGATGAAATCTCTCAGGGCTTCTGAGAAAAGTTTTCCTTCCCAAGAAGAGAGAAGCATGCAAGGTGAAATGTTTCCCCACTCCCTTCCTTCTTGTCTCTTACTAGGCTGTGAGAGGCTGTGATGCTTGCACCTATAGAAACCATCTTGTGATGATGAGGCAACAAGTTGGAAAAATTCCAGCAGGCTGCTGGGAATTCAGAGCTAAGAATGGAAAGTTCCTGGATCCTGGGTGACCTCGTTAATCTTCCAAACTCACCAAGGGACTGCCAGTTTTTGGGCTTTTTATTAGGTAAAACAGGTATGTCCTTATATTTAAAACCACTGTTCATCAGGATTCCTGTTACCTGTAGCCAAACACATTCTAACTTGGAAAGGACGGGCATTTACATGATCAACAAGTGAAATTAAGTGGAGAGGTGCCAGCAAAACTAGGTTTTTTTGTGTGACATCTTGCTTTATTGTTGTTTTAACATTATATTATGATATACATAGCCCTTGTTTCACAATTTAATAAAGCAAAAACTTAAAAGCCATTATTCATTTCTGGAAAACCAAACTTTTATAAGACAAAAAGCTAGCTACAATAAAAGTAAGTG